ATTCATTCTGAAATGGTTCAGTAGGTGAATAATTATTCTGATGAAAGAAAGACTCTTTCAGAGGCCAGAAACTCAGACAGATGGTGAACAAGACGGAAAGAAAAGACAAAGACAGAAGGTTGCGGAACAGCTACAGCAAGGATTGATTAATATAGGCTATTAAGCTATAACACCAGATCATAGTCTCGTCCCTCTGGCCATATTACAGTGACATGATGAAACGCCTGTGTTAGCCATGGGAGAGCGCTAGTGATGCAGATAATAGCCACATCCCAGGAGACCTGCAGAGGGAATTAATGCTGCTGTCTGAGACGTGCAGGCATGGATGCAGATGAGATTTGAAGCGTTGCTGCCTTTCACAGACACTTTTCCTGCACGTGCTGCAAACAGGATAGCCGTCTTCTATCAACTGTCCCACGGCATTCTTCAAATATCCAAAAGATGCCCGTACTTCCCACTTTGTCTTCTTTGAGGGATAATAAATGTCCTGAGCGCTGCCGTCTCCTCCTTTGGCCATTATTTCAGCTTCAGCTTCAAGAAAGTTTTGGTTGTAAACAACAAAGCGTGCATGTGCCGCCGGCAACTTCAGCAGATGATACGGTGTCTGGTAAGGGTCACCGCGCCTACACCGCAGCCACGGTAAACCCACCCCGCTACACCGGTTACCGTGACAACCCTAGCTTAATGAGGCTGAAGGGTCAGCTGTGCTGGCAGCCACCAATAGACCTAAAAACAAAAAGCATTTTTAAGATGAAAATCAAATATTTCCAAATTGTGTATAGACATCAGTGTGTTTGCTTCTAGAAACTGGGACACCGTACACTCAGGGTTGCAAAACACCAAGGGGTCTTGAGATGTCCTGTAGAAAAGAAAGTATAAATAAAAATGATTGTTGGCAACGATTTTGCCACAAAAGATTTAAAAAAAGTAGAGACTTTGTGTTATTAATCTACTTTTGTATATTTGGTTGGCATTTGTACGTGCTAATTGTTGTCGTACATTATTTAATGTGTGGGAAACTTGTTTAATCAATTCATTTGTAGTGGTCTCTGGTGTGAATGAATGCCTTGTAAGTCATACCCGGGGCAAAAGAAAGCCCCCAAGCCCTTGGTTTAGCACGGACAAGTCTGCTGCAGCAGAGAGTGGCACAGCACAGCAAGATTTGAAAGGGAAAAACTTGGACATGAACTGATTTTTTTGTACAATTGACATTGATTTTGTGATTGTTTGGAGCTAAAATCAAAATTGAAATCCAAATTAGTTTAATAGCAAAGCCACACTGCACAAAACATCATTAAGGTTTTAAGATAAATATTGAGGTTGATTTTCCTCCACTTCCTAAAATAGTCCAACAGACACCACCAATTAATTACAACCACTCCAGTTTTTTTTATTTTTTTCATGTCATTGTTTCCGTTTTAACCTGATTGCAAATTTCATCCTAGTTTAGAATATCTAATAGCCACCTTAATTAAAACCCCAAATGCAAACTTGACCTAAATCATATTTTGTGTTGGGAGCCTATTTCAGATAATTCTGCAGGGTTTATATCCATGGAACCACAACATGAATTATATCAATCAAACACTTTTTGAAGGTCAACAATGGTGATATTTTTTTTAGAAAGTGTGTATAGGTAGAGATAGCAGAATGATCTTCATCCTTTCCACCTCATTTCCTTCTACAGCAAAATAGAAGAAATGGAGATGAGTTAAAGGGCCTAAATATGAATTCAGTGTGAAGGAGGTAGAGTTCTAGGGGAAAAAAAAGGTGCTCTTGTAATTGTGTTAATTTATATGGCCATTTCTCCAAATGTGTGTGTGTGTGTGTGTGTGTGTGTGTGTGTGTGTGTGTGTGTGTGTGTGTGTGTGTGCAGGGACGAAATTTTGATTTCAGAAGTGGGGGGGACACACCAGGCTTGTGCGGATTTGGGGTGGGGGTGTTATGTAAAGACCCTTTGACACGTCACATGCCCATCTCAATAATTTTTCCATCCTCAATATATATATATATATATATATATATATATATATATATATATATATATATCAAAGTTAAAAAATGTACAACTCTATTATCATTAATATTTATTATCATTATTGAAGTGCAGTTTTGGCTGTTGACAATGGATAGGCCATTGTATTTATTGTTTTGGGTCTTTTTTTATTGTTTTTGGTGCAACATTTTCTAACAGGGAGTGAGATTCTTTTTTTTATTTAATTTTTGTTTGTTATTTTTATTCATTTAGAAGTTCTGGTTCTGGACATTTCAATGTTAAATGAAGGTTTATTTGTTGCATTTTAAAGGGTGTACTTGCATTATTATGACATATTAACATTATATTAGTGGTTATTTTGGTCTAGATAATGTTGACAATGATATTGTTTATCATCAACATTTTTTTTGGACAAAATATCATCCAGCAAAATTTGTTACTTTCCCAGGCCTAGTCAAAAGTATAAAAAGTATTTATACATAAACGGTCCCTCCTGAGATCTGGCCGTTATTTCATTTGCTGTGTTAGAGGACATGCTGAACTAATGTTTTACACATGATCATCACCCTAACATTTGTCACAATGATCAATTTTATGTCTATCGTATCTTCATTATTTCAACCTCACCTGTGAGCCTCCAGCCTCTGCTCCATCTCCTCCAGGCTCTCGTCCTCCATCTCCTACAGCCTCTCCTGCTGTACCTTCACCGGTCTCTCCTCCTGCATCTCTGTCAGTCACCTGAAAAAAACATGCATGAACTATAAACAGTGGGAGATTTTGGAATGGAACAAACAGAAATATTTACAGGATGGTTCTAGTATGATTCACAATTATTATTAATATAATGTGTAAATTATTCATTACCAATTTGAGTGTATAAAAACATATTAAATATGTTTTTTCCCTTAAAAGTGTTTAAACAGTTGTTGCATTTCAACACACAAAAAATAAATGGAAAAAATAAGATAAATCTAATGAAAAGTGTACATCTTTGACATTAAGCTTAAAAAAATCTGTTGACGATGATACTGTTCATTTTTCAGAGCTTTTTAATGTGAAAATATGCATTGCAATAGATAAGTTTACAATAAAGTTAAATGATAAAAGTTTTGAAGTTACACTTCTACTACTACTACTACTAGTAATAATAATTATGATGATAATAGTAATAATAAAAACATAATAATTATAATAATACGAATAAATTGTGTCTGAGGAGTCAGTTATGTGGAGGAGATTAGTTTGTAAAAGTTAGTTTTGAGTATGTTTGTGAAGGAGGAGGTGAGTCTGAGCTTAATGCAGGGGTGTCACATGTTCCAACTTACGTTTTGACTTTGAAAGGAGTCTCTTATATCCACTTTCGTTTCTTGACATGCTGCCGCCTGGCTGTGCATAACTACCAAAGACTCACAAATGAACACTTATTCAAATGTTATGTAATGGAAGCTGAGCTGAGCTCTGATATTACACAGCGTCTAGTTGACGATGTGACTCAGTACCGGTGTTCCCTAGCGGCTCCAAACTAGCAAAACAACGTGAGCACGTTCTGTTTACTACTTGGAGTGACAGCAGCAACAGCCAATAATACGTTAGCAAGTATCAGCAGAGCCAATAGATTAGCTTTTGGGTGGGTCTAATAGGAAACCGGTTTCCGTTTCGGTCCTAGTGCTCAATCAAATCCATTTAATGGAGCATAACATTGTTTTTGGACGGAAAAAAGTGAAGGGGACCGAAACTGCCTTTTGAAAAAGTGGGGGGGACATGTCCCACCCGTCCCCCCCCAAAATTACGTCCCAGTGTGTGTGTGTGTGTGTGTGTGTGTGTGTGTGTGTGTGTGTGTGTGTGAGTGAGAGTGAGTGAGTGAGTGAGTGAGTGAGTGAGTGAGTGAGTGAGTGAGTGTTTCTGCCTGTGTGTATATGTAAACGATTCTGCCAAGGTTCGTGGCTGTGTCTGTACATGTGCACATGTATCTGCATTAGGGTTGTCACGGTGTGAAAATTTAACCTCACAGTTATTGTGACCAAAATTACCCTGGTTTTTGGTATTATCGCGTTTTTTTTAAACGTGCCACATTTTCACACAATTAAATAAACCCTGTATCTCAGGAAATATTGTCCTCAGTCTGTGTCTAAATTTTCCCTAAAATGTGTTATTTTGTAATTATGTTGTTTATTTGTTTACATTTTTTCCCTTTAGTCTTTAAAATACCAATATTTGCCCATAACTTCTTATTTTATGTCTGTTTGATGTCATCATTTAAAAATATTAGATCAGATGATACTCAGTACTCAAGTAGCCTTCTAATCAGATACATTTTTACCCTTACTTGAGTAATAAACCCTATATCAGGAAAATATTGTCCTCGGTTTGTGTTCCAGTGAGCTTTGCAGATGTGGGGAAATGTCATCAGGCAGTAATCATTGTTAAATTCATAATTATTCTCGGAGAGAGACCAACTCTTATCTGCCCCTGGGAGCCCCGTAATGCATAGCGTCATTTCAACATGGGGGTGTCCGCGACACGGTTTATATGCAGGTAGCGGCGCTGCGGCTGCTTTATATAGCGACTCGTTACATTCTCCCTCAACCCAAATCCTCGGATCACACATTTGAGCTAAAACGCTAACGTTAGCTTGCCTTGCGTTGACTGTAGAGTTGTGGGTGATGGTCACGCAGATGTGTCATGACTAGCTTGACCTCTAGATAGTTTTATGTTTTAATGAGAAACTGTATTAAATATCTTTGAGTTAAGTAATGCACAAATACTAATGATGATTTCTTCCATTGTTGGACAGCTCTACTGTGTCTGTGTGTTCTGTACCAGTTCATAAATGATTTATTTTTCTAAATTTTCAATAACAACTTCAGATCAACCTGACTGCCTAGTTTTGAACTTTGTTGAAGCCCCTTGGCAGATTTCAGTTAACTTTAGGCAGTTCTCATGCAATTTCTCATAATGATGTCATGCACACACATGTCTAACCATAATTATCTTCCTTCTGCAGTGGGAAGAGATCGGCGAAGTAGACGAGGATTATGCCCCCATTCACACCTACCAGGTGTGTCGTGTGATGGAGCAGAACCAGAACAACTGGCTCCACACCAACTGGATCCTGACTGAAGGTGCCCAGCGAGTGTATATTGAGCTCAAGTTCACTCTGAGAGACTGCAACAGCCTGCCTGGGGGAGTCGGGACCTGCAAGGAGACTTTTAACATGTATTACTACGAAACGGATGGCGATGACGAGGAAATGGAAGAAGGCGAGATGAGGGATGGTGTTGGAATAACAGAAGAAGAAGACAGAGCAATGAAAGAGAGTAGATATATCAAAGTCGACACCATAGCAGCAGATGAGAGCTTCACTGAACTGGACCTGGGGGACCGCGTGATGAAACTCAACACCGAAGTCCGTGATTTAGGTCCTCTGAGCCGGAAAGGCTTCTACTTGGCATTCCAGGATTTAGGAGCCTGCATTGCATTGGTTTCTGTGCGAGTCTTCTACAAACGTTGCCCCTTCTTGGTGAAAAGTCTGGCAGAGTTTCCTGACACCATCCCGGGCTCAGAGGCATCGCAGCTGGTGGAGGTGGTGGGCCACTGCATCAACAACTCCATGCCTTTATATGAGCCTCCCAGGATGCACTGCAGTGCAGACGGGGAATGGCTGGTGCCCATTGGGAAGTGTGTTTGTAAGCCAGGATTTGAGGAAATGAGTGGATATTGTCAAGGTAAGAGGAGAAAGTCCCCTTGTTTTTACTAAACAGAGGGAATCAAATGTGATTTATTGGTAATACATTATTAGAAAAAAATATTTTACAGCCTTTTAAACTTTTAGTTGGTTTTTACTTTTCTATCATTCCAAAATCCACACGCACATGTTTGTTTTGATCACCAATATCATCCTGTTTTAATTTCCTAATCCATGTGCATGTCTATTTTGGGGGCTATGCGCTTGAGTGTGTGTACAGATCAGCTTGTTCTTTTACTGAGAGTGTCCTTACTTTGTGTGTGTGTGTGTGTGTGTGTGTTTTTGTGTGTTTCTCTCCCTTGCTTAGTGGAGGGCATTCCCCAGGGCCCTGCAGCACTTTGCTGCTCTCATAAAGCCTCTGTTCTGCTTCGACTCGTGCCCAAACATTCTCTGCTCCGACCTTAACTGCCATTTCCACAGGCACCCAGGGCCTCCTTTTTTTTTCCCCCCTCCCCGTTCTCTCAAGTGCTTCTCTTTTCTCTTAGAATTTTTTAGCATGTTGTTTTTCTTGTAAAGCAACACATTCCATTGGTTTCTCACAATGTGTTGGAGGAATTTATATCACCCCCCCAAAAAACTTTGCATTCGGGGTGTACTGTTTCACAATTTAATTGATGCATCATGATGTGACATGTCGATTCAAAAACAATTTGTAAATGTTCATAAATGATAAATAAATGTCGAAAAACAGCCACAAGTCATGGCAGGAACATAAAAGTTACGCAAGTCGCCTGAGCACTTAAGGGGAAAGACCAGTGAAAAAAGTAAAATGTAGTGGTGGCAGCTTGTTTCTTGGCTTAAGCCACTGAGCGTGATATTTACTCGTCAGGATGGGAAAATGCGTAAATCTAAAATAGAATGCAACAGCAACCTTAACCGTCTCCATCCCATGTTAGATATAGAGAAGTCATGGTTGTTCTTCCTAATCGGCCAACAATCAAGGAAGGATTAATTAAACTTGCTCGCAACTGCAGCCTATTTCATATAATTATTATGCTGCTTTGCCGCGAAGCTGAGGCAGCATAAGGGAGCCTTTGGTTGTTTCTTAAGTTATCAGCATGTGGAGGTAATGTGGTGCGATCATGTGTTTTCACAAAGATTACGCAATGGTGGTATAAAGTGGTGTGGGGCTGTCTCCACACCATTCCGGACTTCCCTTTAGCGTGAGCATGACTTGTATTTTTGTGCTGTTTGAAGCCCCACTCCTTAAGTTTTTTCACAAGCTACTCCAAAAAGTGTTTGTCCTTCACAGTCTCACATGAATTGTTTGATCTACGCTTCAGATCTAAAAAAATTGGGGGCATGGGAATTGTTTAAAAACTATTCAAAAATGCTAACATTGAGTAGGCAATCGTTTAAAAATATAATTGATTATAGGCCACAGAAAATACACACATACTTGCTTAGTTTTTCTTACACTCTCAAGTTTATTAGCTGATTTGTTTTTTTACTTCTAGTAACCCTTAGTTTTTGTAATTGCAGTTTTAACTTTTTATTTTTTTATTATAAATAAAGCTTGTAAACAAAGGCACTTGTATTTTTAAATAACAAAATTCACTTGCTTATAGATTATTGATGTTAAATTGTCAAAAGAACGGTTCTTTTTAAATATTTAGTCAGTTTTAAGAAGCCAGCTTGGGGGCGTCTCAGTTTATCCTGGAAATAATCACTGGGAGGAATGATGACGTGAGATTTGTAGTCAAATAATTAAAGATATCACACACCAATATCTGAGTTTGAATTATTCCGAAACATTGATTATTACCTCATTTGTCATGTGTGGACACATCAGTGTCACAGTAGTTATGAGTCTGGCTCTGCTCTCAAACCTGTGACCTGCAGTGTTGGGTGTTGAGTTTTCAAATGCCTGTGTAAATTGTTTGTTGACCCAGACTTAAATGAAATTACTTTCTGACAAAAGCAGCATTTGGCCTTATAGTTGTCTTCACGAAAAATGTGCACCCAAATGCAAAACGTGCAACTCTATTAAACATACTATCAGAAAATTCCTATTGTCTCACACTTTCCACTCAATAAATGCATTTCTAACATACCTATGGGAGTTTTACACCTGTACATGTACCATATACAGTGTTTCCTCTAGGAATTTTTCCAGCTGTGGCAGAGGGGTCGCGGGGGGGGGGGGGGGGGGGGTCTCTAAATAAAGTAAAATTTTCTAGTGCAGAGTGGAGCCAACCCATAGAAGCACTGATTTGATCTCATTTCAGAGAAAAATAGAACAGATCAGATGCACCTAATAAATAAAATTACTAACAAACTCAAGAATATTTCTTTGCGTCACTGTTCTGGTGCTGAGAATATCACTCATGCGGACCAAAGGAGATACACAGATGAATGCATCTCTTATGTATTATATGGAAACTACATTTACTGCAGCTGGCAGAGGCAGAGATTTTTTCTATTGATACACGGAATTTACAGAATCATTTTAAATTTTAATAGGGGAAGACTTCAGGAGGGAGCGGTAAAATACAGGGGGTCCCCAGCAAAAACAAGAAACTTTACGAGTCTGATGAAGCCCGCTGGTTTTCCATCAGGCAGTCACGGGGCAGCTCCAACGACCCAGTGGCTGTGCTGGGTCAATGTTATCGAGCTCAGTCCGGCTTGGCCGTGAACAAGCCGAGGCAATGTGGTGCTCTGCTTAAGAAGAAGTGTTATTTTCCCGCTTCAGAAGAAGCGCCCAATGTGTTTTTACGCTTTCTCCGAGACATGTCACGTCGCTAAGTTGTTAGCGCCATGCGCTAACACGTCAATAGTGCAGCGTAGCTTGCTGGAGGTTTTAAGGGTTCAGATGAAAACACCCGACCTCTCACGCTGCTCACACATCGATCTTAAGTTGTCGCTGTTGCGCTCACGCCGTAATACAGTATTAGATGCGGTTAAAGTCAGACATGAAAAAATGAATACATTTTACATGAATAAGTGATGCTTAGCCTGGTGGGGAGAGGAAAACCTGCCTAATAAGCACTGGAGGAAACCCTGTCAAGATCCTCAACACTCATTTATCTTAATGCTACTGAAACATGTAAACCAAAAAGCATTATATCCACTGCTACCTTTCTAATTTTAAACTCAGTAACTTATGCTGTAACTTCACCTTGCCCTGCCTGCTCCTCCTTGCTGCCCGCCGGCTGTGATAACAAGTGACAACACAGTAGTTCCCGCTGCTTCTTCGGGAAACAGCGCCAAAGAAAAACAAAAAAAACTTGGGATCTTGTAGGCGTGGCGGTGGGATTTCAGCCGTGGCGGGCCGCCACACTGCTGGGGTTCGGTTGTCGCTGTGATAATGGAGCTAACCATGCTAGCAGAGCTAACCACACCAACTAAGCTAACAGGACTAATGGAATAATAGTTCCCCGATATATTTACCAAATTCTTGTCAGTAATTTAACAGCTTTACACGGAATAGTTTCATAAATCAGTAAGAAAGTCTTTCACTTAGTGAACGGAGCTAACCACACCAACTAAGCTAACAGGACTTGATGGAACAATAGTTCACGGATATATTTAACCAATTTTTGTCAGTAATTTAACAGTTTCACACAGAATAGTTTCGTAAATCAGTAAGAAAGACTTTCACTTACCCGTATTGAAAGGTGAATTTGGCTCTTTCCACTGCATGTAACTCTCTCCATAGACATGTGGCGCCCTCCGCAATGAAAAAAAATCAGCCAGAACATATGGAGTCTTCCCAGGGAAAAACTACACCGATTTACAAAGCGCCTTTTGTTAGACTTAATATTTACAATACAAAATTGAGTTGGTGTTACTTACACAGTTAAGTACATCCAGCATTGCAAGTATTTGCTTTCAAATAAAACAAATAACATAAGTAAATGTAAAAAATATATAGTTTTTGATTACTTCTAACATGATAATATGTTTTATTGCCAATGACAGTGAGATTTCATTTTTTTGAGTGTAGAGCTTATCGTTACATCACACAAAATTGTTTAAGCACTCCATTCATTCATCTGTTTCCGGGGTTGGGTCGCATGGGCAGCAGCCTAAGCAGGGAGGCCCAGATTTCCCTCTGCCCAGCCACGGGCCAGCTCCTCCAGAGTAATCGCAAGGCATTCCTTGGTCAGCCAAGATACATAGTTCCTCCAGCGTGTCTGGAGTCTTCCTTTGGGTCTCCTCCCGGTTGGATGTGCCTGGAAATCCTCACCAGGGAGACGTCCAGGAGGCATTCTGACCAGATGCTCGAGCCACCTCAACTGGCTCCTCTTGATGTGGAGGAGCAGTGGATCTACTCCAAGCCCCTCCTGGATGATCAAGCTTCTCACCCTGCCTCTAAGGGAGAGCACAGCCATCATTTTGACCACTTGTATACGCAATCTCATTCTTTCGGTCACTACCCAAAGCTCATGACCATAGGTGAGAGTAGAAATGTAGAACGACCAGTAAACCGAGAGCTTTGCCTTCCAACTCACCTCTCTCTTCACCATGACAGATTGGTACAGTACTCGCATCTTTGCAGATACAGCACCAATCCTTCTATCAATATCATCTTTCCCTCCCTCCTGAACAAGATCCTGAGATTCTTAAACTCCTTCGCTTTACGCAGGACTTGATCCCTGACCTGGAGAAGGAATTCTACTATTTTCCAACTCAAGACCATGGTCTCAGATTTAGAGGAGCTGATTCTCATCCCAGCTGCTTAAAAATCTGCTACAAACTGCTCCAGCGAAAGATGGAGATCACTCTCTGATGAAACCAATGGGGCCACATCAGGGTGCTATACTATGCCGATGACACCCAGCGCTATCTCTCATTCCCGCCGGACGACCACACAGTCTCCGCACAAATCTCAGACTGCCTCTCTGACATATCAGGATTGATGAAATCTCACCATCTCCAATTAAACATTTTAAAAACTAAATTGTCATCCCAGAAAACACATCTATACGGCAGAATGTTTCTATCTAAAATTATACCCAATCTCTGGCTCCTTCAAAG